ATACTGATTTCATCCACTTTGGATATACACTTAATAGTGGGAATGCTGGATCATATTACATCAGAGAACAGACATCTCTCTTTTTTTTTTTTTTTTGAGATAGTCTCATTCTGTCACTCTTGGTAGAGTCCTATGGCATCACAGCTCACAGGAAGCTCAGATTCTTCGGCTTAAGCGATCCTCTTGCCTCAGCCTCCCAAGTAGCTGGGACTACAGGTGCCCGCTACAACGCCTGGCTATTTTTTATTGCAGTAGTCATTGTTGTTTTAGCCGGCGGGGCTGGGTTTGAATCCTTGGTATATGTGTCTGGCACCCTAACCACTGTGCTACGGGTGCTGAGCCTACAAATGTCTCTTTGACAAACTGATTTCATTTCCTTCGAATGTATACTTGGTAGTGGGATTTGCTGGATTCATTTTTAATTTTTTGAGGAACTTACATACTCTTTTATATAATGGCTGAGCTAATTAAACTTTTGTTAACAGTATGAAAAGGTTCTCTTTTCTCTACATCCTCGTCAGCACTTGTTACCTTTTGGTTTTTTAATAATGGCCATTCTAACTGGAGAGAGATGGTATCTCATTGTGGTTTTGATTCCCATTTCCCTGATACTGAACAATTTTTTTTTTTTTTTTTTTTTGAGACAGAGTCTCACTTTGTAGTCCTTGGTAGAGTGCCATGGCATTGCAGCTCTCAGCAACTTCTAGCTCTTGGGCTTAGGTGATTCTCTTGCCTCAGCCTCCCAAGCAGCTGGGACTATAGGTGCCTGCCACAACGCCTGGCCATTTTTTTGTTGCAGTTTGGCCAGGGCTGGGTTTGAACCAACCACCCTTGGTATATGGGGCTCTCGCCTTACTCACTGAGCCACAGGCGCCGACCTATAGTTTTCTTCATGTAGATTTTATATATAATTGTTAGATCTTATATACAATTGTTAGAGTCATACATTCATATTTTTTTTAAGTGCCAATGTAAATGCTATTGTTTTTTTAAATTCAAATTACACATTATTATTGCTGGTATACAGATTTTTGAACATTTTTTTATATACCTCTAGGCTATTTTTAGTCTTAAGAAATGTTTGTTCAGATCATTTCCTCAGTTTTTAATTGGATTATTTATTTTCTTGCTATGGAGTTATTTGATTCTCTCAAATATTTTGGATATTAACTCCTTTATGAGATCTATAGTTTGTGAAATCCATGCTCCCATTGTGTGTGTCATCTCTTTATTTATTGTCCCTGTGCTCATGCAAAAGGTACTTAATTTGATATTATTTCCCTTGGGCTTGATAGTGTGAGATTTGAGCCAAATAATCTTATAAGATATAGAACTTTTAACTGAAATATTGTATCGCCTTATAGGTAAATACTCTGTTGATATATTTGTAGCATGAAAATTGCTTTTTTCTAATACATTTTTCATGATTTCCAATTCATAAAATGTCTTTTTACTATGAAGTGGCTGCATAGAATTCCATTCTTTAGATATTTTGTATTTTATTTCAGCAGTTTTAATCACTGCAGCCCCTTATAGTATTTTACTTTTATAAACAGTGCTTTGATTGAATCGACAGCATATAGTCTTTACACATAGGGTCCTCTCCTGATAAATTCATATAAGTAGGAGTGCTAATATCCTGTAGTCTTTTGGATTTGAATCCATGACAGTCCTATTAATAAAGCATTTATCATTTTATGTGACTGCCTATACTAGAATTTGGAATGCATGGACTGAATAAGGAAAGTCTTGGTGTTGGCCTGATATTGTTAATTGCACATACACATACACACCAGTTTTGCAAATGGACATTTTACATGAAGTAATCTCATCCCTCAAATAATATTTTTATGCCCAGGTAGTAAGAAGATCTAATCATATATATCTTAAAAACTGGTTTTGAAAAATAAAACTCACAATGTAATCTGCAGTGTTTTGATATAAATATTATAACATAATAAGTAGTTATTATTTAACTGTTTGAAATATATGTATTGTAATCATTAAACTGATATAATTATTTTACAAATGTGTAGTAAGTGTCTATGTAGGTCAATCCCTATGCTGAATATTGGCATATAATTGTACGAGGGAAAAGAGAAAAAGAATATATGTGTGTTTTTTTTTGAGAGAGACCCTCAAGATGTTGCCCTGGGTAGAGTGCCCTGGCATCACAGCTCACAGCAACCTCCAGCTCCTGGGCTTATGGAATTATCTTGCCTCAGCCTCCCAAGTAGCTGGGACTACAGGCGCCTGCCACAATGCCTGGCTATTTTTTTGGTTGTATTTGTCATTGTTGCTTGGCAAGCCTGGGCTGGATTTGATCCCGCCAGCTTTGGTATATGTGGCTGGTGCCTTAGCTGCTTGAGCTACAGGTGCTGAGCCAAGTGTGCCTTCTTGAATTTAGAAAAACATTAGTCAAGTAGCTAATGGTTCTGATTTATAATGACACGTGCTTTTTACTAGTGAAACTGCATTCTGGGATAGGAATAACTACCACAAACCCTTTAGCATTTGAAGGGGTGAAGAAAAGAAATTAATTTTTTAATGTTGTGTCATTACAATGCCTCTTTAAAAAGAGAATACATGGCTATATGTGTAGACCAGACAAAGCCAAAAGATACAAATTTTATACTAAAAGTAGTAGTTAAATAACTCTTTTAAGAGTGATTGCTGTGCGTTTGATACTGAACTGGCACCATGATCTTCTTTCCTAACTTTGAGGGCAATTTCATATCATCATTCTTCTTTAACTGCGTGTCTTTGAAGTTTGAATATATAATAGCTTGGATCAGTGTTGCAGGGAAAACTTGACAGAATTCTCCTCCCCATTTGTTTATTGATTGGTTTATGGTATAAACTTAGGTGACTTATTAAGGCTATATAGAAAGTTTAAAAAAGTATATAGCAACATAAGAACAACTTGCAAATTGGGAATTTCTTTCTTTCTTTCTTTCTTTTTTTTTTTTTTTTGTAAATTGGGAATTTCTAATCTTTGGCTTTCTTTTGTCAGGTGGAACTTTTCCGGAAGATTTTTCAATATTATTTACAGTAAAACCCAAAAAAGGAATCCAGTCTTTCCTTCTATCTATATATAATGAGCATGGCATTCAGCAAGTTGGTGTTGAGGTTGGGAGATCACCTGTTTTTCTGTTTGAGGACCATACTGGAAAACCTGCCCCCGAAGACTATCCCCTCTTCAGAACTGTTAACATCGCTGATGGAAAGTAAGTAGCAACGTAACTAAAGCAATTTGTTGTTTGTTTGTTTTGTTTGTTTCAGTTTTTGGCCAGGGCTGGGTTTGAACCTGCCACCTCCGGCATATGGCGCCGGAGCCCTACTCCTTGAGCCACAGGCATTGCCCCTAAAGCAATTCTTTCATTCTGATGTTCAACAGATATTGGTGAAATGGGGTATAGATTTTCTATGGCCTATCTATTAACAAATTAACATAATAATAAAATATCTACCATGACATAGTTTACCCTCTGGGAAGGTAAACAATAAAACATTTAAAACATACATATTACTAATTATTAATATGTCAGGTGGTGGTAAGTGAGAGAGAAAAATTGAGCACTAAAGAGGATCGTAAATGGCAGTGAGGGATGCAATTTTAAGGAATGAAATTGGGGAAAATCCCACTAAAATGATAACATGTATAAAGAAGGTGGCAGCCAGGCACAGTGGCTGGTGCCTATAATCGCAGTTACCCTGGAGGTTGGGGGACAGGATCACTTGAGCCTGGGGGTTTGAGACCAGCCTGGACCACATAGCAAGACTCCCTCTCTGAAAAGATAAAAATAAAGGAGGTAGAGTGCGTGCCATGCTGGTAATTAAAAGCATACCATTCCAGTAGGCGAGGGAAGCAAATATGAAGTCTCTGACTCCAGGGTGTGGCCAGTTTGTTCCAAGCAATGTCAAGGACACTGGCATAGCAGGAGCAGAGTGAGATGTTGTGGGTGGAGAAGCAGAGTCAGGCCGGAAGGCGTGTACCTTGTAAGAGGTTGTAAGCACTTTGAGTTTGTTCTACTCTGTGAAATGGGAAGTCACTGCAAATGTTTGAGCAGAAAATGATCTGATTTGACTTATTTTTTTACCAATAATAAGAATGTTCATCATAGAAAGCCAGTGCTTGATACATGTTGTGCACTGGTCTACGCATTTTATATGTGACTAACTCACTTCATTTTTCACAATGCTTTTAAGAAAGTCATGTTAATAAACTTACAGAGAAGAGCTTGAGGCATACAGAGTTTTAGTGACTTGTCTAAGATCACATGGTTGGAAAGTAGGGGAGACTGGAATTTGAACTCATATAGTCAGCTTCACTCTACACTCTTCTGAAAGTACTGTTGAGTTCTCAATTCTATGTCCTGACGGCCTTTCACTTATAGAGCAGCTATATACAAGTAAAGGCTTATTCAATTTACTTGATATTTTATTGTTGAATCCAGAGCTCTTAAAATAGCTTTATCAGAAATTGGACAGTTGGGTATAGCTGTCTGCAAGAAATAGTGGTGCAGATAAAAGGAGAAAAAAACGTATCATTGTATCTTTGTCAGAACTGCAGAGAAAACTTTGAGTTTCAGTGCTAGGAAAAACCAGACTTTTATAGGTAATTTACATTATTATCCTATAAACAAACTTCATGCTAAAATTTCAGTGCATAAACTTCATGCTAATAATTTAGTTCATGTATAGTAATTGTAGAAAATATTTTGAAGTCATTTTATTCATTAAATATTATATTCTTTGATCCTGCTTTCTTAACTGGAAATAAAAGAATCAATTTATTCTATTTAAAAAAATAGGCAGTGTTGAGTATGAACAGATCTCTACGATAAAATATGGAAAATGCCCCATAAATATTTTTTACTGATAACCAAACAAAATAAGTACTAATCGTTTCTTTATTCCCTCATATATTCTTTCATTAACAATTTATTAAATGCTTAGCACTTAATAATGCCAGGTATTATACTATTTGCTTGAGATTGTTAAAATGTAGCATACATGCATTTGTTGAGCTCAACTGATTTTTTTTTTTTTTTTTTGAGACAGAGTCTCACTCGCCCCAGGTAGAGTGCTGTGGCATCATAACTGACAGCAACCTCAAACTCTTGAGCTCAAGAGATCCTCTTGACTCAGCTTCCCAAGTAGCTGGGACTACAGGCACCTGCCACAATGCCTGGCTATTTGTTTTAGAGACAGGGTCTCGCTTTTGCTCAGGCTGGTCTCAAACTCCTGTGCTTAAGCAATCTGCCTCGGCTTCCCAGAGTGTTAGGATAATAGACGTGAGCAACTGTGCCTGGCCTGATAAAAAATTTAAATGCAAAAAGGATTGGTATTTAAGCACACTTCCATCTGGTAAGAAGAATCATGACCTGATCATGAATGGGCCATTCATTCCATAAGTATTTATCTAGGAGCCATCATGCTGTGGGGGGTCTGCAGGGCGTAAGAGTTATAGCAGTGACCAACACAGGTAAAGTCCTTCCACTCCTGGAGCTTACACTGTGTTAGAAAACACAGACAGTAGATGAACAAATACTTACTATACAAAGTACTAATAGCAATATGAGGGAAAATAAATCAAGGCGAGGGATGTAGGGAGTACTATTAGATAGGCCGGTCCTGTTTGATGAGATTGCACTGAGTGAAGTCAGGAAGGGAGTCAGGGAACAGCAGTGTGGGTGTAAGGAAGAACAGCGTTCCTGCCATCATGAAGAACATGAACAGCCTGTGGCTGGGGTACAGGGCGTCAGAAAAAAAAAAAAAGGTCAGGCATAAATTCAGAAAGGGCCAGGGGACCCTCCTGTGAAGCAGAATGAAGACTCCAGCTTTTATTGTAAGTAGCATATTTAATAGATTTTTAGCAAGGCAGAGACTTGATCTGACTTAAGTTGTAAAAAGGGTCACTCTGGTTGCCTTAAAGAGGAGGCAGAGACTAGTTAGGAGTCTAGGCGAGACAGAGGCAGCTAGAACTAAGTGGAGGGGCACTGGATTCTGCGTATACTTCAAATATATGGAGTGATTGATGGGATTTTCTGAGATAAGCATGCAGTGTGAGAGAAAGAAAACAGTGAAGAGTGACTCCCAGATTGTTAGTTCAGTATTTTGAATATTGCATAGGATTCCACGATTATGTTTCAGCACTACGGCAGTTGAAATCAATTCAACAAATATATCTAGTTTAGAGCGCTAATCAATTTTTAACTAGTAAGATCAGTTTTCGTTTCTGTTAATGAAAAACACATAGCTCTAAACGCTGGGGATGGTTTAAGTGAAGACGCAGGCTTCTTGGCATGAAGTATGTGTAAATTTTACTCTCACCGTATTAAATAGCTCCTTATAGAAATCTTTGCCCAATTCAAACTGAGCAGACGCCCGTGCCAGCTGAATGTGCTGGTGGAAAGAGCAAAGACCAAGACTATATGGAAACATCCTTGGTCCTCAGCAGCAGCCCTGCCAAGTCACATGAAACAGGCATTTTTAGAGAACCGTCTATAACTTCTTGGGTACTTTATTTCGTGGATCTAGTCCTGGGCACTTCTGGAATATTAATCTAGCAGTTTTAATTTGGAAAAATAAAGTAAAGTATAAACCAGACAGGCTTGCAGAATCTGAGTGAGCTTCATTTGGTGGCTTAGGTTAGCACCGTATATTGTTCATAAAACCCCCTGTTTTACAGTATGGTTAGGGAACGTAGGTTTCCAAAGAGCTGGCCATGTCTCCCTGGCCAAGCCTGTCATCACTGGCCTGAATTAGCTGGAGCAGTAGCTGCGGAGTGAAGTGAGACTCTCATTCCACACTTGCGTTGACTGTGCTTTCTTTCTGTGTTCCCACTTACTGCCAGCTCTGGAAAGAAGGAGAGATACTATGTCTCAGACTTGGATGCTGCCCGCAGCAGTGATCTATAACTGTCCTGAAATTAAAGTGGAAAAAGAAAATGGAAGCCCTCGAAATAAACGTGAATAAAGACAGAGCAGCACATTGTATTTTACGCTTAGAATGTTCCCTTGCTCCAGATGGAGCAGCCCTTCCATTAGTAGACATACCCTTTTATAGTCCGTCTCAGGGGATTACTAAAGCAGAAGTTTTTGAAGTGGAATTCCACTTTGGAAGAAAGCATTTACGTACGTGGAAACTATTACTTACCCCATCTTCCACCCTAATTGCTATCAAATACCTTCACTGGGACACAGTGAGATGAAGCTTTTGTTGCTAGAACACGAAGCGAAGCCAAGGATGGGCACGTCCTTATCAGCACAGATAGCTAATCCTGCAGTGCATCTCAGCCTGATTATGTGTCCTTTTGGGTAGCGAGCACTGTGCTGGGTGCACAGTAAGTAGTCACCTAGTATCGATTCATAAATGAGTCTACAGCTTTGTACGAGGTCAGCTCACTTTTACAGTGCAAAATGCACAGCATTTTAATGGGAATAATGGTTTGGCAGCCAGTGTGTTCGAAGCTCACCAAAGAATGACTTGGCTTTTTTAGGTGGCATCGGGTAGCAATCAGCGTGGAGAAGAAAACTGTGACGATGATTGTCGATTGTAAGAAGAAAACCACAAAACCACTTGATAGAAGTGAGAGAGCGATTGTTGATACCAATGGAATCACGGTGTTTGGAACAAGGATTTTGGATGAAGAAGTGTTTGAGGTAAACATAAATCCAATTTTAATCTGTTCAGTCAGATTTTTGATTTGGAACTGTGTTAATAACGGTAACAATCAATATATGTTATAAAGCGACATTGAAAACTGTAAAGGGGTGACCTACTTTCTTCTCCTGTGGGTGCGATCTTTTCTCTTGTTCAGTAAGAGAATGACCAGACAATGGTCCTTGTCACTCCTGGGAAACCTTTACGGGGATTGGTTGATTTGAACACAGGCATGCTGTTCTCCTGGGAAGGACAAACGGCTTTACTCTTAGTACTTTGTCTTATTTTTTTGGAAAAAACAACATTTTTTTTCACTTCCTTCTCTGGGACATTCATTTAGAGAAATGTCCAAGGCATATATATTTTGCCTTTCTGTTCTTTGTGAAGGTTTCCAAGGTAACATAGAGGTCATATTGCATACGATGAACTTTAAATGTGTAAACCACTCAAAAAAATACTATGAAGCTAATGGTGGGAGGCTTCCTTCCAATTTCTTAAATCTTTCGATCACAGATCTGGTAACTTATTCTTTAAATTGAGTTAGTCGATTTTTAACAGAACAAACAGACCTGCGTCCTGACCTCATTAAGGATGCTCTCTTGAGATATTCTTCACTTTGGTTTCAAACAGTTTCTGAAGTAGTTTATTTTTATTTTTCAAGGTGCAACCAAGGCAAGCTATGTGATATCGCACAGATTAAGATGCATATTTCACGTGGGAGATTTGCCATATTTTGTTGATGTGTGAACACATACACATATATATGGACGTATGTGCAGAGATAGTATGTGTTTTCATAAAAAGAACAATGTAAACTCAGAGTGGCAGCTAGACTATTTTATTCCTATTTTTATATACATAACTGACAACATAATTCTAAATATGATTGACGTTTATGCCACTTGCAGCTTATTTATTTGGGATGCTGTTTGTTTCTATTTTTTTCCCTTACTGTGTACCTAAGTCTTCCTATCTACATAACATATTTTAATTTATTCTATCATACAGAATTACATAAATCATACACTGATTCTGGCAAAATATAATGGTTACATACTCTCAAATCTTCCAGTGATTGCATAGGCATGACAATGAACAACCATTTATTAGGGAAATGAATATTGTAAACAAATTAATACAATTTCTAATGTTACAGTCTTACGATGAAATAGAAGTATTCATAAACTCAGTTGCATAGGCAAATTCATCTTTCTAACCTGCACAATCTTTTTTTCCAGGAATGTAGGTGAGTCACAGAGAAGAGTGGTATCAGTGGTATTTTTTGTTTTAACTTATCTTTGTAAAACCACATCCCATGTTCTAAATCCTGTAGCAATTCCAGTTGTCTATTTGGAAAAGCTATTGAAATATTAAGAAAAATCATTTTTTAAAGATTCTTTAATGGAACCATTAGTGAATATCATCGCAAGTTGACAGAAATAAGTTTATCATGCTACTTTGAAACTTGAAGTTTATGAAGCCTCATGAAGTTTCATATAAAACATTTATTCCCCATGAAGTGTGATTTGTGTTTTGAAAGTAAAGGAATGCTGTACTTTTCAGTCTCAGGTTGATCTTTTGCTAACTTTGACTAGCTAAATGGCGATACTATTTTTACTTAGTAAAATATTGAGAAGGCTGTAGAGCAAAAATCTGTGAAATGGATGAAATTTTGTAGGTATCTAATTCCCACATCCAATCATCAGGCATAAGATTCAGGTCTCTTTTCCTAAACTGTACAATCGTATAGAGATATAAAATTGCAAGAACGATTTGGTCTTTTTCCACCTGAAAATAGAGCATGAAGAAAGGAAATGATTCAAACACACAGACTTTTCCATCAGAGTAAACAACAACTTACCCCTTTGTGAACTTGTTCATTCTACTGACTATCTGATGTTACTATATCTTTCTCTATACATTTTCTCAACATTTTTTACTGTTTCCTTGTGGTTTGTATTATGGTGTCTATCTAGACCTTTGAATCTTTGGAAGTAAACATGTCAGTAGAAATTAAACCAAAAATGACAGGAAGTAGACAAGGCATTTGAGTGTTTGACAGACAGTTGTCCCAGTCTGTTCTGGGAGGTCGACAGTGGGGAAGATGGTGTGCTTGGTTGTAGGGTATAGGGAATACACAGGATATGACAACTCTGCACTTGCTGGTTGATATTGCTGTGAAAACCATCTAGGTTTTCTCCTGTGCTGTCGTTTAGGAGTTTTATGGTTTTGTGTTTTACATTTAGGTCTATGGCACATTTGGAATTAATTTTGGGGTAATTTTTAGAGTGGTGTAAGTTCTGATTTGCATGTGGACGCCTGGTTCCAGCACTGTCAGTTAGCTGAGAAGATTATCTTCACTTCAGTGTAATTTTCTTTCTCTTTGCCAAATATCAGTTTGGTGGACCTTTTCTGGGTCCTCTGTTCTGTCCCATTGTTCTCTTTATTAATTCTTTCACCAATAGCCCCCTTTATAGATTCCTGTAACATCGTAGTGAGTCTTGAAGTTAGGTAGCGTCCGTTCCATGTCATTCTTCTTCTCTTCAGCATTGTTTCGGCTATTCTAGGTCCTCTGACTTATAAACTTTAGAATCAGTTTGTTAAGATCCACAAAATAATTTGCCAGATTATTTATAGGGATTGTGATAAATCTATAGGTCAAGTTGGGGAGAACTGACATCTTGACAGTTTTATTCTTTCTATTCATGAACAAGGAATTTCTCTATTTTTAAGTTCTTTGATACGTTATGTCAGAGTTTTATAGTTTTCTTTTCTTTTTTTTATTTTTTATTTTTGCAGTTTTGGGCAGGGCTGGGCTTGAACCTGCCACCCTGGTGTACGGAGCCGGTGCCCTACTCCTTGAGCCACAGGCGCCGTCCTATAGTTTTCTTCATGTAGATCTTACATATAATTGTTAGATTCATTCATATTTCTTTGTTAAGAATTTCTTAATTCTTATATATGAATGAATTTCTTTTTATGAAATTCATTCATATTTCTTTTTTAAGTGCTAATGTAAATACTTTTTTTTTTTTCCTTTGCTGTTTTTGGCTGAGGCTGGGTTTGAACCCCCCACCTCTGGCATATGGAGCTGGCACCCTTCTCCTCTGAGCCACAGGCACCGCCCAATGCTATTGTTTTTTTTAAATTCAAATTCCACATTATTATTGCTGGTATATAGGAAAGTGATTGATTTTTGTATATAAACTTTGTATCCTATAACTCTGGAATAATCACTTATTAGTTCTAGAAGGGATTTTTATTTTTGTTAATTCTTTTGTATTTTAAAAATAAATAATTATGCCATCTGTGAACAAAGAGTGTTTAAATTTTTGCCTTGCAGTCTTTTTTTTTTTTTTTAATTGAGACAGAGTCTCACTTTGTCACCTCAGTAGAGTGCTATCATATCACAGCTCACAGCAACCTCACTCTTAGGCTTAAGCTATTCTCTTGCCTCAGCCTCCCAAGTAGCTGGGACTACAGGTGCCCTCCACAACCACCAACCATTTTTGGTTGCAGTTGTCATTACTGTTTAGCAGGCCCCGGCAAGGCTCAAACCTGCCAGCCTCCGTGTATATGGCTGGCACCCTACTCAACTGAGCTACGGGGTCCAAGCCTGCCTTACAGTCTTGAAAATTCTTTTTTCCTTATCTTATTGTGTCAACTAGGACTTCCAGCATAATGTTGAAGAGCAGTGTTGAGAGAAGACATCCTTTCCTCATCTCTAGTAATTGAAAATTTTGAATTCCAACCATTAGGTATGGTGTTCTCATTATAGGGGCTTTTGTAGATGTTCTTATCAGATTGAGAAATTTCCTTTTATTTATAATTTGTTGAGTTTTTTTTCTTTTTGTAGTCATCAGTATTGTAGAATTTTGTTAAATGCTTTCTGCATATATTGATACGAGTTTTTGGTTTTTCTTCCTTAGCCTGTGGATGTAATCATGTTAATTGATTTCAAATATTGAACCAGACTTGCACATCTGAAACAAGCACACTTTGTCATGGTATATAATTATTTTTATACAAAGTTGGATTCATTTGCTAAGATTTTGTAAAGGAGTTTTGCTTTTATCTTCATGAAAGCTATTAGTCTGTAGTTTTCTTTTACTGTCTTCATCTGGTTTTGGTATTAGGGCGATGTGACCTCCCAGAATGAGTTAGGAAGTGTTTGTTTTTCAGAAAGAGATTATAGAGGTTTGGAATAATGTCTTTCTGAAATGTTTTGTAGGATTCTCTGGTGAACTTGGTGCTTTCTGTTTAGGAAGGTTATAAATTTTTGATTCAATGTTTTATTGGATGGTGGACTTTTCAGATTTTCTGTTTGTGTGTGAGTTATTGCAATTTACATCTAACAAGGAGTCGGTCTATGTCATCTAAGTTACCAAATTTGGGGGCATAGAGTTTTCCATTTTCTGTTATTATCTTTTTTATGTCTGTGAGATCTATAGTCATGCCCTTTTTACTTGTAATAGTAATTTGTAACTTTTCTCCTTTTCTCTTAATTGACCTGGCTGGAGATTTATTCATTTTATTAACGTTTTCAAAGAACCCACTTTGGTTTCAGCAATATTCAGTAGTGACCTTCTGTTTCTGCTCTTTTATTTTCTTTTCCTTTTATTCTGCTTACTTTGCATATATTTTGCTTTTCTTTGTTTAGTTTCTTAAGGAGGAAGCTTAGATAATTGATGGGATATCTTTCTTCTTTTCTAATATATGCGCTTAATGCTGTAAATTTCCTTCAATGAGTTTTATTTTCATTATAATGTTTTTAATTACTCTTTAGATTTCTTCTTTGATCCATTTTCTATTTAGAAATGTACTTTTTAATGTTCAGGTATTTTGAAATTTCCCAGCTGTTTTTCTGTTGTTTTCTAGATTATTTGTATTGTTATGTAAGAGCAGACACTGTGGGGGTTTTATTCTTTTAAATGTGTTGAGGGTTTTTTCTTTTTAATGGCCCATAATCTGTCTTGCTGAGTGTCCACGTGAACTTTAG